ATTTTGGAAAGAGGGAGGCATTCCTGTGTGTTAACTGCACACCTAGGTAGGGATCTGCTGATGAGAGGGTGTGTAGTGTTGACTGATATTTCTTAACCCTTTTCCAGAGCACCCCAAAGTTTACGTGTGTATGTATGGCAGGTTTCCACCACTCTCATCTTGGGCTCACTCCAGTGACAACCATCTTTGGTCCTTGGCCCCAGGATAGAGCAACATCTCTTCTTGGTTTTAAGTCACATTTGTGAGAATTGTGCTGAGTACCTTTCTTTGTAGCTGGTTCTTTTTGATCCCATTTGCCTCTGTGTGTGGTATACAATAGGTCAGGCCTTTGTCTAGCTATCCATAAAAGTGGCAGAGCAGCAGGAACCTCCACTGAGAGCCAAAGGAAGATGCACACGTTCAGGCTGCAGTTGAGCTCAGGCTCAGGCTCAGGCTCAGATCTGCACACAGGAGGACCAGTCAGGCTTTGGTGAGGCTGATGGAAGGCAGGGGTACTTGGCATGTGTGTGCTAATAGGGCTGGGAAGAACAAGGGGACAGAGAAGCAATGTTGAATGGATTTAGGTGGTACCCCCATCCCAGTAGCTCCTTCTAGGTCCCCATCACTCCTCTGCCCAGTCCTGTGAACCAGGGGCAGAAGAGAACCGAGGTCAGGACCTTTTCTTATTTCTCTATGTCACAAGCTTCATAACAATGCTCAAGGCTCCTGGGTGGCCCAGAAAGGCTCACCCTAGGTTATACAGGAAATGTCACCATCTCCCTCAAGGCTGGTGGGACCCACCATTCTGTGTCATTCTCTGGGCTGTGTGCTGAGGCCCTCAAAGCAAACATCCTGTTGAGCAGGGCCCTGGTAGGCTCCCACGGCTACCCTCCTGCCAGGAGAGGGAATGCTCTGCAGCATTTTCAAAGCCAGAATTCTTCAGGGCTTTCATGTCAGAGAAAGGGGACTGTCTAGGAGGTCTTGATGTCTGGGCTGGATTGTTTGGGACTTCCATTGTTCTATGATCAAAGGAGGTTATAGTCTCCAGAATCTCTGAATCTATTTACAAGGGAAGGGCTCTGGAATGGCTAATACCTGCCTGCAATATATAGAAAGCTGGGCTCCTCCCCAAGACACCATCTGTTGCTGGGGCTTAGGTCTCCACTTATATCTATGTAATCCTTTTAAAAGACAAACACCAGTTTATGTAGCTCCCAAACTCTGACTAAAATACCTTCAGGAATGATTTCATTGCATGCATACATCTGCCTCTGGCTCCGAAACACCTGTATGTGGTTGGCTGGGAGCAGCTTCATTATTTCATCTCTGATCGTTAGGTATTTCTGGAATTTTTTGCTGTCACAAATGCATCATGCATCTGGGACCCTCCTGTCTGGGTCCATGGTGGTGTCCGTCAGCATATGAGATTCTTGGAAGGGGAAGTTCCAGCTCACAGTTCTTTATATTGTATTACAATGTGTTTTTAAAACATAACATGAAATTTACAAGTATTAAGTGCATAGCTGAACAGCATCAAATAATGTCCACTGGAGTGAGATCTCCCATCTTCTGAAGCTCTGTTCCTGTCGAACACTAAGCCCCAGCCCCTGGTGCCCTCCACACTACTTTCTGTCTTTGAATCTGAGTGGAAACATGTGTTGACTATACTCTTCATGTCTGGATCATTTCTAAGTCTTAGACCTCAGTCTTCACTATGGGATTTTCTAGTTCCTGTTACCTTATCCATTCCTGGTTTTGTCTCTTCCTGTGGCCAGTTTCTTTCCCATGTCATGCTTGTGTGATATGAATGTGTCACATGGTGGTTTTGGCCATCATTGGCAACTTGTTATAGCATAGGGACCATGCTTCTGGAGACATTGCTAGCACGGGCTGTTCAGTGGCCTGGGACTCTGGGGCACGAGTTTGAACATCTTCCCTTTTAGCAGGCAGCTGGGCAGGTTTTCCATAACTCTCTCTTTCTCTGCCACCCAGAGATGTGAGAGATGGGTGGATCAGGGAGCAACTGTACTACCTGGCTGGCAGGACCCTGAAGCCTGATACTCTGAAGACCACAGCAGGGTCATTGAGAGCCAGGCCAGTGCCAGGTCATGCTACTGTTCTCCCAGTCATCCTTGGGAAGAATAGGGAGGCCCAGCTAATCCAGAGGAGGCAGAAGGGTAGACAGCATCATGGAATAGGCAGTGAACACATTTTCCACCCTGACATTGGTTCTGTTGCTGTGTTGTGATGGCTTAGTTCATTTAGAAGGGTACAATACACTAAACCATGTTACCCAGGGCCAGTGCAGTATGAGAGAGGATAAGTGAGGTGATGTGATAGGTAGAGTTGGGGTATGCAGAAGTCAGGGAGATCCCCTCTGAAGAAAGCGATCCCTGGAAAGGGGGAAGGAGTTGATAATAGAGGTGGAGCAAGGCAGGGAGATGGGTGGGAGAGTCTGGGCAGCCAGCATAGCGAGTGCAAAGGCCCTGGGAAGAAATGAGCCTGAGACACCAAGGAACGGGTGAGAATAGAGAGCGGAGAAGGGAAAATGGAGGAGGAGGCAGGACCATCCATGGGACTTCAGTCACAGAGGAGTCCTCATCTGATTCCTGTGTGTGGACAGTCACCTGGGTACCATCCTGGAAGTGACTGGAGGGCAGATGGAAGCAGAGGTACAGAGGTGTAGGAGGGACCAAGGAAAGGTGACACAGGACGCCCATAGATCAGAAGGTATCACTAGAGTCAGTGTGAGGAAGAGGAGAGGCCAGAAACCAGACAGGTCAAGAAATCCCCAGAGAGAGAGGCTGGGGTGTCTGGAGTCAGGGAAGGAGCCAGGCCTGAGGGAGTTGCCTCAGGACCATCTTGGGAATTGTGGGATGTAGTTCTCATTGTGACCTTGCCTCCCGTGTTTTAGATGTTGAATCCACATTAGACCTAGTCCCCATTATGCTCCAAATAGGTTGACCTTCCAGTATGAGGTCGTAGCTCTAGAAGCTTTGAAGTGAGAAAGCTGGGATGCGAAAAGCCAGGGGAATAGTGGAAGTTTACCAAGTGCAGGCTAAAATCTGGTCTGAGGCCAAGAAACTACAAGAGAAGGCCACCAAGTCCACATGGAGGCAGCCCCTTGGTGTGCTAGAAGCTGGGTTCACAGGTCTTTCAAGAATGGCTGGATCAAGTTACCTGGAAGGGAAAGGAAAGAGAGGAAGTGAGGCTGGACTGTCTAGTCCTCCACTTCCTCTAGGCAGAGGGAGTAACAACAGCTGGGTGTTTGGCCTCACGCCTAGCTAGTTGCTAGCACTCAGCACGTCGGGGCTGTCATTGTTATCTCTTAAGGTATCCATCACATGTTGCCTGGCCAGGACCCCAGGAACTGGTTCAGTCTGGTTATCCCACAAGGCTTTCTTAGGAAAGCCTTGGGGAAGGAAGATTCCAGCCTGTAGAAGGAAAATCAAGTGTTAGGATCTGGATATGAAATGCCCCACCCAAGGTTCATTATGTCTTGAAGGCTGGGTCCTCAGCAAATGGGTCATCTTTGCCACACACACACTGTGTGTGTGTGTGTGTGTGTGTGTGTGTGTGTGTGTGTGTGTGTGTGTGTGTCTTTATGAAGCCCAGGCTCAAATTTGTAATCCTCAGCTTCCAGAATGCTTACTTTACAGGCATGTACCTCCCTACCTGTCTCGTATACTTTTATACAGTTACTTTTGTAAACGGAGGCTGAGTGGAGTGATATGGGGGGGTTGGGGTACACAGGGGTCAGGAAGACATTTTCTGAGGAAATTTGATCCCTTAAAAGGGAAAAGGAAGCTATCATCCTGGTTGAGGGTCATAACCCTGCCCCTCTTTGTTTTTAGGGTTTCATTTTGAGACAGAGTCTCACAAAGTTGATCTTGAACTCAGTCTGGATGCAAGAGTAGTGGATTACAATTTAAAATCAGGCCTGGCTATTTAGGCAAATCTGAGAATCATCTTGACAAAACCCATAATCAGATTGGGTCTTTGACCGTAATTGTATTAAAGTTGTAGCTCACATACAGGAGAGTTTACGTCTTGAGTACTCTACTCAAGTATGCATACATGCTATATGTTTCAAATAAACTGGTTAAAAGCACTTGCTGATCCAACAGAGAACTCAAGTTCCGTTCCCAGCACCCACATAGCAGCTCAAGACCACCTGTAACTCCAGTTCCAGGGGATTTGATGCCCCCTTGAGGCCCTTGTGGGCTCTGCACTCATGGTACATACACATACATGCAGGCAAAAAAAAAAAAAAAAAAAAAAAAAAAAAAAAAAAAAAAAAACAAAGAAACAAAAAAAAAAAAAAAAAAACCACAAAATAAATTGAAGAGAGCGACACACAGAGAGATGCACAGAGAGAGATTCCCTTCTTGTTGGACATGTTTAATGCTTATTTATTTCTGGATTTCTCTTTAAATGGCATTTTTTTCTGTTAAATTTCCTATTACTGTATTAAGAAGAACCACTATTTGGATACTTCAATTTTAGTTTTGATCGTTGTGTTATATTAATTTTTATTAGTTAGACTTAATCATTACAGCCAAATCCTCAAGGAAAGAAACTTAAGATAGCTCTTAATGGAATCCCACAAGCCTCTTTGAAGCTCTTTTCTTGTCTCCTGCCCCATCTGGGCTACTCAGGTCAGGCCCTTCAGAAGCAGAGCCTCAGTCAGGGCTTCTTATGTCTGTAATGGTTTATTTAGGGACATGTCTTGGCAGAAACAGCCTAGGGGATAGGGAAGGGGCTAGACAGCTGCTGCCTGTGCAGTCTGATCCTGTGGGCATCCCCCAAAATACACACACACACACACACACACACACTTGCATACCCTTGGAGCCAGTCATTAGCTGCCCATTCCTCTTCCTTAGAAGGGAAGAGCTGGATGTGCAGGGTAGGGGGTAGATGGGGGTTGGGGTTAGGAGGTTCCCTTGCCCCGTGTCTGCAGTATGTACTGCACTTGGTGGCCCTGAAACCCAGCCACACCTCCTCATTGCAACCCACAGTCTCCAGCAAAGACCTGATTGAGACATGCTGTGCAGCTGGCCAGCAGTGGGCCATCGACCATGATGAGTGCCAGGAAATCCCCGAGAATGGCGCCGAGAGCGACGTCTGCAGGTGAGTGCAGGCCTGGGGTGGGCAGAGCTGCTGTTGCCTTCCCTGGGCCCCAGCTGTGTGAAGGTGACCCAGAGAGAACACAGTGAGCCATCTGGCCAGACTAATGGAGAAACAGAGTGGTCCTGAGCGTCAGGTGATCGATCACATGGCTGGTCCTGAGTCAGCTGGCCACTTGGATCTGTGGCTGTCTTGTTGGGCAAATACAATGGTGTGTAGTTTAGAGCAAGTTCAAAGGAACATCATCACCTTGGTGTTGCTGGGCTCCCCACGTACTGCAGCTACCCTCCCCCAGCTCAGCCACCCCAATGCTCCACAGCCTGGCTGCCCTCTGTCCTCATCTGCTACCTGTGCTCTGCTTGCCCTGCCATGATTGGTCAGCTTTTAATCCCTTTCTCGTCTTTCACAACCTACTCATTTTTTCAGAAAGGAGAACGAAGTTCAGAGATGCAGTGTGATTCACCTAGAGCTGCACAGCCCACCCGTAGTATGGCCAGGATTAGAACCCATACTTTCTGATGTCCAGCTTACTCTGCCTCTGCCTCCTCCTCCTTTTTTAATCCTGAGACAGAGACAGTCTCACTGTATAGACCTACTGACCTGAAACTCTCTATGTAGACCAGGCTGACTTCAAATTCACAGGAATCTGCTTGCCTTGCCTCCCAACTGCTGGGATTAAAGGCATGCACCACCATGCCTGACCCCACTCTGCCTTCTTTAGAGAAATTTAAATTCTAACCCTGTTCCTCCCCTTTCCTTTTTGCCACTCCCATTTGGGTTACTGAATGGTTAGAACATGCACATTATTCAGACCCCATGCATTTTGAGTTTTGCAACCATAATGAATACTTACATCCTTTTGAGCTCCCCACTACATGGACCATGACTCCATCACTGGACAGCTGACCCCTTCATGTGTCCCTCCCAAGTAGTGTGGAGTTCTGTTTCCCCTGATCTATGCTTTGCTGACTCATCAGCCTCCTCTTTCTCAGATTAGCCATGTGGAGAGATGTTTGTGGAATATTAGTTTAAGATGTTTTACATTCGTTTATGCTCTGGAACATTTATTTAATGATGTAAAGATATGTTGCATTCTTTTATATTGCATTTGTTCAACTCTGTGAAGCTATGTTACTTTGCCTGCCTAAAACATCTGATTGATCTAATAAAGAGCTGAATGACCAATAAACAGCAAGGCGGGGGAAAGGATAGGCGGACTGTCAGGCAGAGGGGATAAATAGAAGGAGAAAAAGAAGGCTCAGGAAGCAAAAGAAATCAAGTGGAGAAAAGAAGCACTGGCCACCCAGCCACATGGCCGGACATGGAATAAGAAGGAAAGAAAAGATATATAGAAATAGAGAAAGGTAAAATCTCAGAGGCAAAAGATAGACTGGATAATTTAGGAAAAGCTGGCTAGAAACAAGCCAAGCTGAGGCTGGACTTTTATAAGAAAGAATACACCTCCGGTGATTTATTTGGGAGCTGGGTGAGGGGGTGGGGTAGGGGTGGGTGGGGCCTCAGACTTGGTGGGGTTTGTGCCAGTACTGGCCACACTTACTGTTGACCTCAGTGGGAGCTTCCCTTCTCAGGACTCCAGTCCATCTCCCTCCTGTGAGGTGGGGACTGTCACCCTCCAGGGGAGAGTCCCACGAAGACAGGTACTGAGGCCGCCTCCTATTTCAGGATAGCCCAGAGGCACTGCTGTGTCTCCTACTTGAAAGAGAAGAGCTGCATGGCTGGCGTCTTGGGAGCCAAGGAGGGTGAGGCCTGTGGAGCAGAGGACAACGATACCTGTGGTGTCTCCCTGTACAAGGCAAGTCCCCCCCCACTTCCACAATTGTGGCTGAGATGGGTGACACCACATCTTGGGGGCAGGGTGGAGGTGTAGAATCATCATCTGCTCAGGAAATGTTAACAGTTATGGCATTGGTCAACAAATGCACAAAGTATGCATTGAACCCCACTAATAACCCAGATGACATCTTGCTTTCTCTGAGGCAGGTCTGGTTGAGTGTGGCAGGGTGTGGTGTGCCTGTGGGAGTAGCTGAAGAGGTCTTAGGTGGAGATTGTGCTGCAGTGTACAGTGGTCCAAGGATCAGTGTGGCTGCAAGAAATAGGAAGTCCTAGAAGCTGGTTTCCGTTGCATGTGTATTCTGGAGGCTGGAGGCAGGCAGGCCCAAGCTGCATCAAGGATAGGGATAAAGCAGGAGGAAGGAAGATGACCTGCTTTTAAAAGAGGATCTTGCTGCAGGCAAGTGTAGAGTCCATCTGAGGTTACCTTTACCCTAAGCCCAGTTTCCTTCTCTCAGCCTCAGTTTCCCCATTGTGTAAAACAGGAGCAAGGAATTGCCCATCCTGGGGGTAGGCAAGGCCCAGTGCCAGGCCCTGGAGCTTGTGGTCATGTGATCTTTGGCAGTGGATATTGCAGCATCAGATGAAGGACTGGGGTATCAATCATTATAGCTGTGCTTGGAGCTGGCTTGGCATCAGAAAAAAAAAAAAGTTTAGCTGGGCCTGTGTGGCTGTCATTGGCTGGTGACTGCTCTGAAGCCAGGTGATATAGGTGGCCTACAGCGAAACTGTCTGTGTTCCCTGAATGGAACATTCTCTCCCACAATGGGCTGGCTGGGCCTGGTTCAGATAGAGCTCTAAGGAAGAGATTGAAAGCATGTATTGCTCAGCTTTTCTCTCTGTGACATGCCTGAAATAACCCCCTTATGAGAGTGAAAGGTTTTGGTTCAGTTTGGCCCTGCTGCCTTTGGTGAAATGGCATGGCATGATATGCATGGTAGAGCCCCTTGCTCACATAAGAGAAGAGACCATTGTCCTCTTCAGGGACATGACCTCAGTGACCTTAGACCTGCCCTGGGCCCTGGAGTAGGCATAAGCCAAACTCACACTATAATGGCATGCAAGATCTTTAGAAGACTAGGTTCCAAATGGGCACATGATTATTTTTATCTTACACTAGTGACCAAAGCAAGTGATCGGCCACTCCCAAGTTGGAGCCACATGCTTACTCTCTGAGTTGCTGAGCTGTTTAGCTACAAACTGGGTACCAGGGAGGCTGGGCAGCTGGAGCTGTTGCAGCACCCAACCTACTGCCACAGTTTGACAATGTAAATCAGATTTCCCTGTGGCTGTTGGCAGTCTGCACCGTTGTGTCTGCATACCCTTAGGGATACAGCCTCTGTCTTTTTGTTGAATTGTCTCTCCGTGACCTGACATGACACCAGGGGCCCATCACATATGCGCTCTGAAGAGTACCAGGGAAAGAGAGGTGGGAACACTTCCCAGTACACCCTGTCCTGACCACTTTATGAAGTCACTGGGACTGTAGGGACCCTTGAGAAATGTTGTCTTTTTGCTGAACTGACAGGATTGGAGTCTGCCTCTAAGGGTAGGGCATGGTGAGCAGGACTGGGTTTCATTTGTAGTTCTTTCCAAACAGGACATGTATTCATTCATTAAAGAAAATTAACATTAGTCCTACCCTTCTCCAGACTTGGGATGAAGGGGTGGGCCACCCTCTACCCTGGGAGAGCACACAGACAGAGGAACTAGACGATGTTAATTCACTCCAGAACCTGCCCCAGGCTATGCCCACGGATCCTGAATGAGTCACAGGCACATAGACTGTGAGGAGTCAGGCAGGCACTGAGGGCCTGGTGCTGATGCTCTGTCTTCCTCAGCAATGCTGTGACTGCTGTGGCCTGGGTCTCCGCGTGCGGGCTGAGGGCCAGTTGTGTGAGTCCAACCCCAACCTGGGCTATCCCTGCAACCATGTCATGCTGTCCTGCTGTGAAGGCGAAGACCCGCTCATAGTGCCTGAGGTCCGCCGGCCACCAGAGCCTGAGGCCACCCCACGGAAAGGTAGGTGCTGCCTGCGAAGAGGCGGTTGGAGGAGGATGGTTATAGCTCTAAGGATGGTTGGACTGGATGGCCACAGGCCACAGTGAGGACCATTGTTGTATGTGGTTTGAAGTTTGAGCTCCTCTCTATAGGGTCCCACAGATACTGACTGGACCCTAATTCTGTTTGTGCTGGCATGGCTGGCAGTCCTACACAGTTCTCTGTGCCCTTCACCAGTGACCTTCTACCCTCCCCTCACCACCCTGGCTGCTCTGGCCATATCCACATTCTTCCACTGTTTCCCCATTCCACCATTCAGATCTGTTTCTCTGTTTCTCTATGCAGTCATCTGACCTTCATTCTGTCATCTATCTGTCACCATCCATCCATCCACTTATCCATCTACTTGCCTATCTGTCCATCCATTCATTGTTTCACTCCCTCATTAATCCCCAAATCTACCCACGATCCGCCTCCCCCACTCACTCATTCTCCTATCTTTTCCATCTAGCGGCCCACCCACTCACCTGCTCATCTATTTTCATCCATCCTGCCATTCATCTGTCCATCTACTCGCCCATCCATTCACTCACCCACCCATCTAACAGCTCACTCAAGATGCTGGTTAAAAACGGTAATTTCTGAAGAACAAGTTATTATCCAGAGAGTGGTTCAAAATAGAGTTCAGGTGGAAACCCAGAATCAGTGGCCAGAATGTGACACAGGGGACCAGGTGGACAACACAGCTGGGCAGGGTTTATCCATCCCCCAACTTAACCACCCACATAACATCATGCCTTTTCCTGTGAAGAGCTTCTGAAGTCTTCTGGGTCTGGGAGATGCTGGTGGTGGGAGCAGACTGTTCTGCTTCAAGTCCTGTTTGAAACAGCCTCAGGCCTATCCTCCCCCCTTTTCTTTTCTGCGGAGGATGGTCACAAAGGGCTTGCAGATGGCAGTGAGCAGGGCTTGGCCCATGGAGGTGCATGCTGGTGTGCTCAGGAAATCTGCCCAGTCACTGTTCCAAGTCCCCAGGACAGCTGTGGACACAAGGCCATGGCTCCTCAGGATGGAGCTCAAGGCAGATACCTTCCCTAGGACATGCCCTTGAATGCAGCTTCATGCCACCATTCTGCTCTTGTTGCCTGAGGCTGATGGCAAAGGCTGAGGTATCAGGCCAGTGCAGAGAAGCCCAGCAGCAACCTTTCCTTCTCACCTGCTACCCCTCTACAGAGTAGGCAGTGGGTCCCAGGACCTGGAGGTACAAAGAGACATAGTGTTGACACAGCTAAGGAAGCTGCAATCAGACATCATATCCTGACCTGTCTCAACCCAGGCTGGTCCTCCTTCTATGACTCTAGTTCAAGAGCCCGCTTTAGGCATGACCCTGTCCTATTGAAGGGACCCAGGTGATGAAGACTCAGACTGTTACCATGGGTTCATTATCATTCATCCATCCCCCTTTCTTCCTTCACCCACCCACCCACCCACCCATCCATCCACCCACCCGCCCTCCCACCCACCCTCCCATCCATCCATCCATCCATGTTTCCCTCTCTTCCTCCTTCTCCATCATTACCATCCATTGAGCCCCTGTTGCTTTCCTGGATCCTATGGGCTCAGCTACCCATTGGTCAAGTTGGCTATGTTCCAAATGCTAACAAACCACCCCAGTTTCAGAGGCAGAGATGGCAAGTCGGGAGGCCCTGTCACTGGGCACAGAGGCTGAACTACCCAATAGCCTGCCAGGAGATGACCAGGATGAGTGTCTGCTGCTCCCCGGGGAGCTTTGCCAGCATCTTTGCATCAACACTGTGGGCTCCTACCGCTGTGCCTGCTTCCCTGGATTCGAGCTGCAGGGCGACGGCCGCACCTGCCGCCCAGGTGAGCTATAGGCTTGTCCTGCTGGTGGAGGGTGGCCTTACTAGGCTACCTCTTTTCCTGCTGTCCCTGTGTTGATGCTGGCTGAAGCCAGAGGGGACTCCTAGCTCTGGGAATTCTGAAGGCTGCCTGGAGCTAGACCCTTACCAGGCCCAGCTGTGTCCCTCGCATCATGGCTTTCTCCCTGCCAGCTGTATGGGGTGGAGCTTCTTTTTAGTCTAGACACCCCCTACTTCTTCCTTCCCTCTTTTGCCTTCTCCCAGTAGCTTTGAGATAGCTCTTCCCCAGGGTGTGTTTGTACCCTGAGCCTCAGTCTTTTCCCTCATGAATGGGCAAGGGGAGAGGTCAGTGCAGTCATCAGTCAGTTGCCTGTGAGTGTTCAGGGTCTGACAGAAGATGTAAGCCTGCCCCCTGATGTCTACTCTGCCTATAACAGACGGAGGTGCCCCACAGTTGGACACTGCACGGGAGTCTGCACCAAGGCCTGAGTCTGCCCAGATGTCCCCCAACACCATCCCACTACCGGTGCCACAGCCCAACACCTGCAAAGGTGAGTGGAGGAATGTGCCTTCTGCAGACCTGAGCTGTAGAAGTCTGGCCAGTGTGGTGTGGAGGTATGTGAGCTGGGCCAGGCCATCTGGAGCTTTGTGGAAGGGGTAGGGCTTGCCTAGTGATGACTGAGGAGGAGGAGGTGGTGACATTGGGGGATTCTGGGTCTCCATGTGTGGGTCACCTGCCCTGTCTCATTCCTGTAAAGCCAAGTTTTTATTTAGGAATGCTGGGATGTCCTCCTTTCCTGCCTCCTGCCTTTTGCTCCTCACTGTCCTCCCTGGCACTCGAGGAATGGACTAGCATCTGAGTGTTGTGTGGGAGAAACTCAAAATATTGTTTCCAGTGCCAGCTGGGACTAGAGCCACTTCCTGGGGACACTGTGAAAAGGCACAGGCATGGGATTCACCTCTTTTCACGTCTGTCTCCCTGGGCCTTTGGAGACCCCAACCCTTGTCTCAGAGTTGGGGTTTAAGCAGTGTGGTCAGGGCCAAGAGCTATGTGTTCTGACTGCAGGAATTTCCCCCCAGACAACGGGCCCTGCCGGCAGGTGTGCCGTGTTGTTGGAGGCACAGCTATGTGCTCCTGCTTTCCTGGCTATGCCATCATGGCAGATGGCGTGTCCTGTGAAGGTGAGTACCTTGGTATCACCCTTTAACCTTTGCAGGTCAGGCTGTCGTGTGGTGAGGGCTTAGGATAGAGATGACTAGGACTCAAACTCACCCTGATCATGAGGTTTGGCTGCTGTGACAGAGAACCTGAGCAGAGTGGAGTAGGTGGTTCCCTCTGGTGTCACCGAACCTGTGGTGTGGGCCCACCATGGTACTGGAGAGGTTCAGGGTCCCCGCTCCTGCCCGGTTGCTCTGCTGCCTTCTAGAAGATGGTTCCCAGAACTGAGCCTGTACCCATGTTACCTGGAGGCCTGCTGGACCCAGACTCCTGGAAACTCTACAGGCTCCCCCAGATTAGGGGGTCTGGGGAAGCTCAGAACTTGTGTTCTAGCCAGGACCTATGCCAGACATGGGCCATCCTCAACTCATTGCTTCTAGTGGGATGGCCTGGGGTGGCTGAGCTTGTTTTGTGATCTCGGAGTTCATCCATGCTCAAGCCTGAGGGGTGGTGGGGAGCGATGTGTCACTGTTTGCCAGGAGCAGCATCCAGAAGAGGTCTCACCCCCCTACCCCTATGCCTGAAGTGGAGATAAGGTCCTCAGTTATGGAAGGACAGTTGACATTGGTGATGTGTGCAGTGGAAGCAGTAGTTGTGACATTTGCTGGTTAGCTTCCTCCGTGAGTTTTGTCTGAACCAGCTTGAGAGGTCCCAGGACCTTACCCCCTCCTATCAGGACAGAGGAGGGATAGGGAGCTACAAGTTCAGGATATGTGTGGGCTCAGGCTCAGAAGACACAGTTTGAATGTCTGCATATGATGATCAAGTCTGTCCAAGAGGATGCCACGTTCCTCTCCAAAGCTCAGATCCTATGTGCACTCATTCTGGAGAGTGACATTGCCCTGTGAGTCTAAAGAAGAAGGTAGTTAAGGCACACAGAATGGTGACAGCTGATCTTTTTCTCTGATGTGGAGACAACAGGCCCAGGGGATACTGTGTTCTTTGGGCTCTGATCTTCCCCAGGGCTCTGGAGACTCAAGAAAGGATATCTTGGTTTAGAAGTTTTCAGGTCTGATCCCCACCAGGGACCTGGGACTGGGGTGTCCAGTATACTGCCTCTGCTGGCCATGTGGCTGGGCTGGTATTCACTTTCTCTCACATGCCCCTTCTCCCCAGGGGTCACTCCAGCAGGAGGAGCCAAGGGGTAGAAACCAGAGGTTGCAAAGGAGCATCTGTGAGGATGTGTGCAGCTCCTGCACAGAGAGGGCTGCCCCATGCTGTTCTCAGGAACAATCACAGGGATTCCCAGCTGGGACAGCCTGAGACTTTTTAAAACATTTCCAGATTTGTTTCTGATGAAACTTCATAAACCAGCCCACGAAGGCCCTTCTGCATAGCCCCTGCATAGTCTGGCAGCCTCTGGAGCCCCCCTCCCCCAGCCATTTCTGTGAGTGCTGCTGGCCTGGACCCCAAAGCCTTTGAACGTGCAGACTTTTTCTGTTGCTAATTCCTTGGTGGCTGCAGACTTGGGCATTACAGAGAGTGGGTGTGGGCAGCTTGCTGCCTGCGGTGTGGATGTGGGCTGGTGGCGTGTCCTCCTGAGTCTTACTCCATCTGACCTTATTGGGTAGTGGGAGCCAGCTCTAACGTTGAGTTTTACAAACTCAACTTGGGTTCAAGGTTCAGCCTTCACACTGACAGGCACACATAGTTGAGTGTTTGGTTTTTTTTGTTTTGTTTTGTTTTGTTTTGTTTTTTTTTGTTTTGTTTTGTTTTGTGTTTTGTTTTTGGGTTTTTTGTTTGTTTGTCTAGTTTTTTTTTTTAAATCCCTCTGTCCTTGGATGACCTTGGCAGCCATATCTCTCTAACAGCCTTCTGTTTTTTCTTCCGTGGCTGTCATTAGATCAAGACGAGTGCTTGATGGGCACTCACGATTGTAGCTGGCAACAGTTCTGTGTGAACACCCTGGGATCCTTCTACTGTGTCAACCACACAGTGCTCTGTGCAGAGGGCTATATCCTCAACGCACATAGGAAGTGTGTGGGTAAGCTGGAGCCCCTGCCTGCCGCCTGTGTCACGGCTATCTGCTCTGCTCCACGCCGGTCCACCACATTGTGCCACATGCTAAAGGACCTGTCCTTTGCATGTGAGCTCCCACACAGCGTCCTGCTGCGCTCTGTGTCACATCCTTGTGTCCCAGTGTCTTGTCCCGCTTGTTTCCAGATACGCCTGTGACTCGGAAAGCTAATAGGACAGCTCCCTGGTGTCGGGACAGGGAGGCCAGATGCGGGATAGGGAGGCCTGGGCTGGAAGTGGGACCCGGTGGCTCCGGATCTTGTCTTTCTCAGCTATTGGAAGCCGTTGACACCTATGAGGATTGTGGGACAAATGCAGTGTGTACACAGCCTGGGTCATGCAGGGTTGCCTACAGATTTATCTGGAATCTCCCCCAAGAGACGAGTGGATTGTACTGGGGCCAGCTGACCCAATTTCAGCATCCGATTGCTATGTGACCCTGAGCAGATGGTGCTTTCTCCTCTGAGTCTTCCCTCAATGGCCTCTTGTCTGCCTATGCCTGTATAGGCTGGGACTCTGGGGTTCTGTGGACAAGGAGGGGCTCCATGCTGTCTTATGTTTGGGTCATCTGGTATTCTCACTGAGGAAACAAAAGCCCTGGCCTGAGTAGTGGGGAAGTTGGGAAGATTGACCAATGCTATGACAGGGACCCAGGCAAAAGGAGATGTCATCCTCCCAAGAATGGGCAGGGTTTGGAGATGGGGGAAAGCACAGAGCAAGGAGACAGCTGAGACAAAGGTGTGGTGGGAACTGGGCAGAAAGTGCTCAGGGCTTGGGACCAGAGTCCTGTCTGTCTTGCCTGTGCTTGGGGACCATGTCCAGCCTGGACATGTCCTTGTATTCCTCTGCACTGCTGGGCAGCAGTGCTGGCCAACATGTTTGCCTGGCTGCGGCTGTGGTACAACATGACCCTCCTGATGTGCTTGCCGGTGGTGGCAGCTCCTTCTGGGTGGGCTGGGTCTGTGTGTGCCTGTTGGGAGGCATGTGAGTCCCTTCTTAGGATGTCCTACCTGCCACTCCCTGGCTTGGCAGCTAAGACCTGTGCTGCAGGGTCCTTAGCAGCTGGAAGATGAGCCTGAGGATAAGAAAGCCAAGCTACATTCCATTCAGCAAGATTTATGAGCATGCTCTATTTCTCCCCTCTTAATTCTGCAAAAACTATCGGCCCACTGTCCTGTTCCATGCAGATATGGCTTGGGGGTTCCCCAATTGCTCCACTCAGGTGCAGTAACTCAGGCAGAGGAGGGGGCAGGGTCATGCTAGGATGAAGTGTGGCCTCGCTGACATCTGCTAACCCCTCTGAGCTTTAGTTTCCCCCTCTAAGAAAGAGACAATGGTGGCTGTTTCTGAAAGTCACTATGGAGGTCAGGTGTATTAGTTCCTGTGAGGGGCTCTGATGGGGTTCCTGAGCCACTGAGGTGTGGAAGCTGGGGACAAAACTGGGTGTGGCCTCTGCTAGGACCCCCTGCTTTAAGTTTCCAGCTGGGCTGAACCAGGATGCTGAGATGGTGCAGCCTCAGCTCTGGACCCTCCCTGCAGTGAGAAGCAAGCAGTGAGGGAAAGGGTATAGCTTGGACCATGTGCCCCGACTTCCATCCTTGCTGGCCACATACCTCATTCCAGTGGCATCCCCTGGGGGGAGAGAGCTCCCCATCTGTGAAACAGCCACCCCTGTATCACAAGACAGCAAGTCTCAGCGACTTTTGTAACTTCCTGACCCCAGGTGATCCTCTGTGAGTGCTGGCTATTGTCATTCAGTATGGTGAGGCCTCCCAGCTTTGGGAAACTCCTGGGGTCCTGGCCCTGCCAGTCCAGCTGTAAATTAGAAGTCTTTGTGGTGGCTGACCAGAACTGTCACTTCCCTGTCCCCATTCCTGTCCATGCCATCTCTGCCTGGAATGGTTTCTTCCCCTACCCCTCTTTCCTGCCTGGTCCCCTAGTTATCCTCATAGAAGCATCTGGCACTGCAGGGCCCGGGAGGGGGGGCAGTTCTCTGAGCTGAGCCCCAGGCATCTCACACCCCTTCATCTGTATCCACCTGCCTGGTTTGATCCAGGTGCTTGGCTGGTCACTCTCGAAGGTCAGGGGCTGTGCTGACTGACCCATTGTGTGGCCTCAGGAACATGGCACAGAATAAGCACCTGCCAATGTGGCACTGAGTGATTAGGCTGTGCCTAGTGCCACTATGTCCCGGTATAGGCTGGACAGGCAGGGCTGGGCAGAGCCTCCATGGGACCTTAGCCCTGGCCTGGAGGCAGTTATGGGTCGGTGACTTCTTTTTCCATTTGCCCCAGTTCTCTGTTCCCTCCTTCCAGCTGCTTATTCCCAGTGTCCCAATGTCTGTCCTTGGCCTCTTCCTCATGTCGAGTGACCTCATCCACCTGACCACTCCCCTTGGCTCCTTCAGTGAGCAGAGAGGTGGGTCTTTCAGTGCCTCCTAGCCCCAGAGAATTCTTGAACCTTCCGATGCACACCTGCCCCAGCCTGCTCCACCCCAGGTGCTGGTACCTATCTAGCTGCGTAACCCAAAGCTTTACTGACTTCCTGGTTCTCTCACGCCCACCTCTGCCACCAATGGGTCTTGTTGCTTCTGCCCTCTCCCACGCACAGGGTTACCAGCCACCACCCATCTAGGGATAATTATATTTCCTCCTAAACTGTTCTCCAGCTCCAGCCAGGGTGCCCTCATTCCTTTGCCAGGAACCCTCTATGGCTCCCATCCTCTCCTCGACCTAACCCTCCTGTTCACATTTTCTTCTCTCCCCTACAGCCACTCCTGCCTCTGGGCTGGTCCTGAACTCACCTGGGCTATCGTCTAACTGTTCCTTCTGCCTGGACTGTCAGAGTGGCTCCTGCTGTCACCTCTTCACATTCTTACTCAGATGCCATCCTTCTAAGGGTGCTCCTCATCCCTGCCTTACTTGCTTGACCTGTCTCCACCCTAGCCTGCCCTCCACCTGCTGTGGTCCCAATAGCCCTCTTGAGCAACCTCATTGCATATGCAAACATTTCCAAGTGTCTACCCCAAGGGCAGGTGTTTCTGTCTTGTCACTCACCCATCCCTCTCGCCAAGGCCCCTACTTGGCGTATAGAGGGGTGTGATAAATCTTTGTTGAATGAAGGGATACTTGGATGAGGGACATCAGCTGCGTGCTTCTCCCTGCATGGTGAGTACCTGAGGCCAGAGTCTGGTGTTTCCTGCCTCCTGGTGCCTGGTTGTGCTAGGCCTGTGTACCCAGAGCCCCTGCAGGCCTTGACAGCTGCCTCAATCCCCACACAGACATCAACGAGTGTGTGACCGACCTACACACATGCACCCGGGACGAGCACTGTGTGAACACGCCAGGCTCCTTCCAGTGCTACAAGGCGCTTACCTGCGAGTCAGGCTATGCACTCACAGATGGAGAGTGCACAGGTGAGAAAGTGCCCAGCCCCACCGGGGGAGGGATGCAGCCATGCCCCACCCCTACTGTCTCTTTCCCCCACTTTCCTGTTCCAGGTGGGGGTGTTTGGAGCAGCGGGGTCTGAGGCTAGGGACGGGAGTTGGGACAAGGCCAGCATCTGCCCCTGGCCTTCCTACCACTAGCTGGCCTCTATGCCAGTCTTTCCCCTCACCGTACCTCCATTCCCCTCTTTGCACATTGAAATGGAGCCCCACGGAAGACTATTCATGTCCCTTTCACTGGAAAATCCTTGTTTTCTAAGAAGAGATTTTAAAAATCATCTTAACAAGTATTTCTCAAGCTTCTTTTAATGCCAGATGGGGTTCTGGGTACCAGCAGCATTGGTGTGAAGTGACCTTCCTGTGACCTTGTGGTAGGGGAAGTGGGGAATATAAGTGACGACGGGAGGTGGAAGGGTGTGTCTAGTGTGGGTCTATAAAGCCCATAAAAGTGAGACTGTCATTGAGACCGGGCCGGTGGGAGCCTGCCTCGAAGGGGTTGGGCACAGGGAAGAGCAAGCACAGGGGCCTGACATATGAAGGAAGGATCGGTCGTGGCAAGGGCCCCAGGTGTGAGCCCCATGCTCCTGCTTCATGTTTCTGTCTGCTCCTCACAAGTGTGGGGTGATGAGTGGTAGGGGACCGGACTGCCTGGCATTCTGTAGCAGTAGAAGCTTGCCTCAGTGTCCCCCTCAGGAAGATGGGCTAGTCACAGGATCTTCTTGCATGGCTGTGAGGATGCAATTAATCAAATCACCTCACATGCTTTGAATAGTGGGGTCATGGAGGAGCTTGGGGAATGTTACATCATTTTAACTCCTGGGATAGGTGTCTCCCCAGTGACTCAGCTCTGCTACCTTTCTGGGATGCAGACTTTTGTGACTGCTGAGATTACAGTACTGTTGTGATGGGGTGTATGGCAGGGTTGCCGGATGTGATGGTGGGGCCCACCTGCCTCACCCCTGACGCCCAGCCTTTGTACGGCAGATGTGGACGAGTGTGTGACAGGCACACACAACTGCCAGTCAGGCTTCTCATGCCACAACACCAAAGGCTCCTTCTACTGCCAGGCCCGGCAGCGCTGCATGGACGGCTTCTTGCAGGACCCTGAGGGCAACTGTGTGGGTAAGCAGACTGTGGGCAGTGGCTCCTGGGATCCTGAGGGCTTTAAAGGCCTGGTGGATCTAACTCGTTGCTCCCTTCTCCCAGCCTCAATGTCTTCAACCATTGAGTGGGTGGGTGGGACATGTGCAGAATGGTAGCTGCTCTGCTTGCCTTGGAGCTGTTTTTCTCAAGGCCTCAGTGGGACCACAATGGAAGAATGCCCATCATGTGTTTTTGAACCAGCTGGCAGGAGGAACCTGTCTATGATGCACAGGGTTCCTGACTGAAGTGAACCCCACAGGGACCATCACTGTCAAAGACAACTGCTGAGGTCTAGATCAGTTCCACACCATGCTTAGGGTAGGGACATCCAGTGTGCTGGATTGTCCTGAGGGCTGAGATGTCAATCACCCCTTCCAAACAACCAGGACAGGCCATGTCCCCAGAGCTGCTGACTTGGCTCTTGTCAGAACACAGGTGGCAGAAGGGACAATAACACAGAGAGGCAAGGGGCTGACAATGTGCAGAAGGAAAGACTGGTCAGGTGACAGGCAGTCCATGTGACTCCTTATCACAAGGAGTCCAAATGCCGGAAGGGGGTCTGCCTGTCTGAAGATTCACCAAGATTCTGGGGGTTCCTTCAGCCAGCTTGCTGGAGTCCCCCTTGCCCAAGTGCAGCCTTTAGTGTTGCCCATCACCATGCCCCAGGGATATAGGATCCTTGGGTGGCCTTGGGACCACCACTCCAGGTCATAGTTGGCTAGGAGGGGAGGATCTTACATATCCACACAGCTCCTTAGTGGTTCATCATGTGCAACATTTACTGAATACCTACTGTGTTCTAGGGTCCTGGATGGGGCCAGCCATAGTGTTTTTGTGGGGAGGAGACCAAATAGGCAGCCATGTTCATAAAAACATCAATAATTAATACATACTTTAATAAATAATAAACAACCTTTGACAAGCTAGGAGAGGTCTCCTTGAAGTGACACTGGCCAATGGCCTGAGGAAAGAAGCAAGCTAGCACTAGAAACGATAGAGAAGTGTATGGCAGGTAGTAGGACTCTAGACTCGTGTGTGTGTGTGTGTGTGTGTGTGTGTGTGTGTGTGCGTGTGCGTGCGTGAGAGAGAGAGAGAGAAACAGAGAGAGAGAGAGAGCTGCAGAGTTGGGGAGCAGCTGGAATTCTCAGAACTGTAAGCACTGTTGGAAAAGCAAGAACAGGGTTCTGCCCTTCTAGTCACCCCTGAGCAGCCTTGCCTTCCCCTTGATTTAGCTGTCCCACTGGACAAATGTGTACAAGTTGTAGTCAGCCTAGTGACTATAGAGGTGAGACTCTCAGATACCAGGGTTCAGGGGTGGGATGGTCTAGGCCTAAAGCCCAGAGCTGGCCAGACGAGCATAGGAGGAGTGAGACAGGCTTTCCATCACCCTGTCCCTTCTGCAGACATCAACGAATGCACATCGTTACTGGAGCCTTGCCGCTCAGGATTCAGCTGCGTCAACACAGTGGGCTCCTATACCTGCCAGAGGAACCCACTGGTCTGCAGGCGTGGTTACCATGCCAATGAAGATGGCTCTGAGTGTGTGGGTAAGGTTGGAGACTTCCTGAATCCACAGCCTCCCCATCTAGCTCTCTGCCCAAGAAGCCCTGTAGAGGGGCATGCAGACCTCAGGGTGTCCTGCTTGCCTGCCCCACAGATGTGAATGAGTGTGAAACAGGTGTGCACCGCTGTGGTGAGGGCCAGCTGTGCCACAACCTCCCTGGATCCTACCGCTGTGACTGCAAGCCTGGCTTCCAGAGGGATGCTTTTGGCAGGGCCTGCATTGGTAAGGGATGCTGGGGCCTGGGATCCCCCGGGAACAAAGAGTCTGACCTGTTGTGTCCCTTCAGCTCTGGCCTGGACCTTCCTAGATGTCAGCCTTCAAGCCACCCACCTCCTCTTTGGCTCAGATTCCATTCTCTAGCCATCTTACAATCTTGTCCTCCTTGTCTTTACACCCTTTGCTCTGGGAAACTCTGCTTCTGGACCACTCTGTGCCTGCAGATGTGAATGAATGCTGGATCTCACCGGGCCGCCTGTGCCAGCACACGTGTGAGAACACACCCGGCTCCTACCGCTGCTCCTGTGCTACTGGCTTCATTTTGGCCGCAGACGGCAAGCATTGCGAAGGTACCCACCACCCTGGCTTCTGACCCCTGGCCTCTGACCCCATGCATCTTGCTCCCACTTGGACAGACAGGCTCTGCCCCTACTGTGATCACAGGGAGTTTGCTGCCAAGATGGCACAAGGCAACCATGAAAGCTCAGGAGCTGTGCCACACAGTGTCAGCTCTCTGTGGCCTATGTTGCACATAGGTGACTCGAGAGTCATCTGTTCTAGCAGTTGTGCATCCCCAGCAGGCTAGCACAAGGCTCTGCCTTCATTTTGTCCTAGGGCCAGAGGACCTGGTCCACACACCCCCCTCAAAGGGTGACTGAAAGCAATGTCTGTCCAGACAAGTATACTGGTGAGCCAGCCCAGCCCAACATATGGGCTGGAAGGACCTACCACAATGGATACTTGTCCCTACAGATGTGAATGAGTGCCAGGCCCAGCGTTGCAGCCAGGAGTGCGCCAACATCTATGGCTCCTACCAGTGCTACTGTCGCCAGGGCTACCAGCTGGCAGAGGATGGGCATAGCTGCACAGGTGGGCACCTGCCCTCTCCAAGGACTCTCATGAAGAAGGGAGAGGGCTCTTCCCCATGTGTTGGGTCTGAATTCACATCCCAGCCTACAGTTTGCCTGCTGTGGGATCTTGGATCTCTCCACTCTGACCTAAGGTTCCTCTAAAGTGAGATGGTGGCCCTGATCTCAACAGGAGTGCATCACCCACACCAAGCTGGCAACTGTATAGGCCTTGGCTGGTACTGTCAGTCAGTAGCGCACATTGTTCTGTGAGGCACACTCCAGTTCTAGTTCCCAGCTTCTGTGTGGCTTTCAGCAATTCACACCCACCATTAGAGCCTCCTTGTCTTCCCTTGTAAACGGACCCCTGGGATTCCCGGCTGTGTCTGGATGGCCAGGGCTCACCAACTGACCCTTTCTGGCAGACATCGATGAGTGTGCACAGGGCGCTGGCATTCTCTGCACCTTCCGCTGTGTCAACGTGCCCGGAAGCTACCAGTGTGCGTGCCCAGAGCAGGGCTACACTACGATGGCCAATGGGAGGTCCTGCAAGGGTAAGTAGTGACAGTTTCCACTCCACCAGGCCTCGGGCAGCTCTGTGTGTACACCCGTGCTGTGACTGCCTCGTGCTTGAAGAGTAGTACTAACCCCATGTGCTCAGAACAGCTGTGCTCAGGACAATAGTCCTAGTGGGTTTCCTGCCACTCATCCCAGGGTAGAATCTCCCAGGCTTGGCTTTGAAGCTATACCCTGCCTTGGTGTGAGGAGGTAGGGGTCTGTCTGTGAGCATACTAGAAGTTGTCCTCAAACTTCTACCATACTGTCCAGGGGCCAGGTTGGGACAGGAAAGTGTGCAGTCCACAGGCCAGGATATAGGGAAGGAGTCCCAGGGAGGTCAGCACTAGTCTAATGCAGGTCGATATATTGCTCACCCCCACCCCCATCACAGTGGTACAAGTCAGGAAATAGGGAAGGTGGCTCCTGTCACTGAGACACAGCAAGCCCCAGCTTAGTTTGTCAGATTTGCTACAGAGGAGACAGTCCTGGGATGAACCAGACCTGCAACTTTGACTTGCCCTCTGAGCTTGGCTCTAAGTTGTGATTCTAAGGTCAGTGTCACTGATCACAACATTCTGGGCCTGCCAAGACAGCAAGGTGGCAGCAGAAGGGGTTCAGGCTGGATTCCTGCGTCACAGGGACTCTCTTAACAGCTCTACTCTCCCCTCCCAGACCTGGATGAGTGTGCACTGGGCACCCACAACTGCTCTGAGGCTGAGACCTGCCACAACATCCAGGGCAGTTTCCGCTGCCTGCGCTTCGAGTGTCCACCAAACTATGTCCGTGTCTCAGAAACGTGAGTGCCTTCAGTTCTGGTGTGGTCCAGTGCCCTTCATTGTCACCATGCCACAGGCCAAATGGCAGGTGGTCCCTGCCAAGACTACCTCCTGCCCTTTCCTATAAAGCACTAGAAGAGATATAGAGAACTGTCCGTGTGAATACAGGGCTGGCATCTCAAAGGGAGAAGTCTGATCTGGAGCCGGATATGAATGGCCACAGGCCAGGAACATGAATTAAGGTCGCCTCAAATAACATGTTCATGGAAACAGTTATGAAGTCAACAAGTCAATTGAATCTTTAACAGAGACATAGTATTTGTTGGGAATGTCAGTTCCTAACCACACACACACACACACACACACACACACACACACACTCCTTGTGCGTTACCTACTGTGTAACAAGTCCCCAGCATTTGACCCTTACTATAGATCTATTCATTACCTCCTGGGAGGTTCTGGGGACCTGAGCCAGTGCAGCCTCATGGTGCAGCTTCGTGGGACAGTGCTCAGTCCTGAGTACACCGTCAAGCTATTCCTATCTCTGCCTGTCATCTGGCAGCTGGCCTGCATTTACAGGATCTCACCAGGCACTCACCAGGTTGCAGACTGAGGCCTCAGTGCCTCACCCCTCAGCCTCTCCAAAGGCTGCCTCGATGTGGCCTCCTTAGTGCAGGCCACCAGGTGAGGGGGCTGCAGAACTTAAACTGACTTTAACTTGGAAGTGATAATACCCATCTCTGCGAGAGGAGACAGTTGGACCAGGCAGCACTCAGGTTGTATCAGGAAGTGGGATGTGATGGGAAGGGGAGGGGAAGAAAGGAAGGAGCAAACATGGATGGAAAAGGGCTGCTGACAGGCCTGCTGGTACCCTGTGCTGGGCACTGGCAATCACACAGCCCTGGGAGACCATCTCACAGCTGTGGGAACTGAGGTCCAGAGGGGTAAATGACTTACTCGAGGCAGCTGGATTCCTATGGGTAGAGCTCACATTTGACCTTCACTGGTTCCTGAGCCAACTTCTGGGTTCTGTCCCATTTCTGGGTTGGGAGTGAGGATCCCCAGCCACTGACCAAGCCTCCTTCCCTCACAGGAAGTGTGAGCGCACCACATGCCAGGATATCACAGAGTGCCAGACCTCGCCGGCTCGCATCACATATTACCAGCTCAATTTCCAGACTGGCCTACTGGTACCTGCACACATCTTCCGCATCGGCCCTGCTCCTGCCTTTGCTGGGGACACCATCTCCTTGACCATCACCAAGGGGAATGAGGAGGGCTACTTCATCACAAGCAGACTCAATGCCTACACTGGTGTGGTGTCCCTGCAGAGGTCAGTCCTGGAGCCACGGGACTTTGCCCTGGATGTAGAGATGAAGCTGTGGCGGCAGGGCTCTGTCACTACCTTCCTGGCCAAGATGTACATTTTTTTTACCACCTTTGCCCCTTGACGTGCCATGTGAGGCAGTCCTTCCAGGTGGCATCTGGCAGCTGTGCCACTCCTGAGTGGCTTCTGCTGTGACTCCGTAACTTAACATAATCATGCTGATATGATATGGTTGGTCTTATGTCTTTGCCCTGGAAGAAGGGAGATGTGCCCCAACAGGCGATGGGTACAGGTCAAGGTCACCCACCCAAGGCTGGGTGATGGCCTGAAGACAGCAAACAGCCACAAGGGGCTTCAGAACTCTCCTCCATGACTATGACTAAAAGTGACACTCCATTCCTAGTTCCACTGTAGTCTTCAATTTAAAAACAAAACAAACAACAAACAAACAAAAAAACCTCCAGCTGTGCCTTGTGGCGCGCACCTTTAATCACAGCAATGGGGAGGCAGAGGCAGGCAGATCTCTGCGAGTCCCAGGACAGCCTGGTCTACACTGGGAGTTCTACCAGCTGGGCTGCATAGAGAAACCCTGTCTCAAAAAAAGGAAAAAATCATTTAAAAAGGTTTTGTTGTTGTTATTGTTTAATTATAAGAGTAGTACATATACACTATTAAAATGATCAAATAGCACAAAAAGTTATATTCAGCCTCTTTGTCTCTTTTCTTTTATAAAACATTGAAGTTTGACATTAGTACCAGAATGTCACAGGCTCACAAATTTAATTGATAAACTTGGAGAGAGAGCCACAGATCAGCTAGCTGGCCTTTTCTATTACAGTTCCCACCTCTCCTCCTACCCACACTTGCCCCTTCCTGCTGTCCCCTCCTCTTCAGATGTGGACCCTAGCTGCTTGTCTGTCACATGGGGTGTGATGACAGCAGGTCTGGAGTGAAGTTGGGGAGGGCTAAAAGAGACACATTTTTCTTTGAGCCGTGTGAATTTCAGCTCTGTTAGGCCTAGCCAAGGAGGCATCCATGAAAATGTGGGAATCTGAGGCCCTATGAGCAGAGGGGATGTGCCTAAATCTACAGTGAGGGTTGGAATGGGCATGCCAACATGACCATGTGTCCTTCCAAGATGGGATTTCTTTCTGTAAACAGTCTGGAACAGTTACATGTGTTGAGTGGCAGTCAATATACTATGGTATGGAAAGTGGGTTGGGTCAAGCACATCTGTAATCCCAACTACTTGGGACACAAGGTAGGAAGATTGAGAGTTAGTGGCACCCTATCCCACAGAGTAAAGATGGGGTCGGGAATTGTGCATATAATTTAGTAGTAGTGCATTTGGTCGGTATGTGTGAGACTCAGGGTTCAATCCCCAACACCACACAGGAAAACCAAATGATGGGGATAGCATAGACACAGCTATGCTTCACACATGGTAACAGCATTGTGGGTGTCTGTACACATGTGTGCTTGGGCCACTAGCTGTGGCTGGGGATAGAAAATATTTTTTTACTGTGAGTTGTGGGCAGAACCTGGAGAAGTGGCCTGCTGGGATGGTGGCACATAGCCTCCAGTGGCTGGGCACTCTTCTTTAAGACATTAATGTAAATTCTCCTGTTTTTAAGCTGTGATTGAAACTTTAAAACCAAAAAAAAAAAAAAAAAAAAAAAAAAAAATTCAGGCATGAGTGCCTAATGGCAAGGATGGCCAAGGAACCTGCTACTAAGGACATGCTATTAAGCTCCGAGGACCTGAGTTCAATTCCCAGGGCTCACGGTACACACACACACACACACACACGCACGCACGCACGCACGCACGCACGCACGCACGCACGCACGCACGCACGCACGCGCACACACACGCACACACACACGCACAGAAGCATACATGAGTGCATGACATACTTTCTAATATTTTTTTAAAGGAAAGCAATAAGCAAGGGAGCTGGAGAGATGACTTGGTGGCTAAGGGACCCACGTGGCAGCTCACAATTATCTGTAACTCCACTTCCACAGGATCTGATGCCCTCTTGTGGACACCAGACACACACGGTACACATGCATACATGCAGGGAAAGCATTCATACACATACCAAAGAATAAATCAATCTTAAAACACAACAGGCATGAGCCAAGCCAATCCTACTGTCGCCCAGTGACTTTTTCTCTTCCCTCCCTTCCCTTCACTGTCCCTTCTTCCCAGAAGTGTAGCAGAAGTTGCTTTCTTGCTACTGGCCTACTGTTTTGCCCTCTCGTTCTTTGGCCTTCAGAGTCCCATAGCTCTGCTGTGACAGCCATCTTCAGGGCAATAGGCTAGATGGAGTTCCATTGACAAGCACACCAAGGACACCCTGGAGGTAGAGGTCACTTCCCAGCTGGCAGCAACTGCCCTTGTTCCCCCATAGCCTGGGCTCTCCTGCCAACTCATGCTTACTCCCCTTGGATCTGCATTAGGCCCCCAGGACTCTACTGGGGCAATGTAGTTCTTATGGGGAACATGTGCCCTAGAAGCATCTGACTGCAAGCTGGCCAGCAATTGGCCTCACGCCATGCTTCTGTGCAGTCTCTGTGGCTTCCATCCCACAGCTCCAGTTGCAGAAGCATTCACCGTCATGCTGTTCATCTGTCCTCGCTCCACTATATTCCAGGAGAAGCAAGATTACTACCCTTCATAATGGCTTAGGCTCTCCGGTCCTGACTGAATTGCTCCCCGGACTCCCATGTCCTAGGTATGGCTAAGTTCCCCTGGTCCAGTAGTAACCCTTGAGGACATCTTAGTTTTCATATAGCTGGTCTGAGGGTACATAAAGAAACCTTGTCTTAAAAACCAACAAACAAACAAACAAAAGAAAAAATATATACACATGTTCTTCACTTTGTTGATTTAGGCAGAAATGGGAATGAATCTAGGGCCTTGTGCATGCAAGGCAAGGCAAGTATTCTACCACTAAGCCATTTCCTCTTTGTCTTTTTTTTTTTTTTTTTTTTTTTTTTATCCTTAGATTAGGTCTCACTAAGTGGCCTAGACAGGTTTTGGACTTGACCTCTTTCTTTCTCAGCCTCCTGAGTAGCTAGGGTTAGACGTTTTAATAATTTTTGATTAACACATAATATTTGTTCTATATGTGAATTATTCTTTTCAGTGCTGGGAATAGAGAACCAGGACCCTGTGCATGCTGGCCAGTGCTCTACCTCCCAGCTGCATCTCCAGAAAACAGCCATGTTTGGTTTGTGTTTCCATCGGGTTGTATGTTTGCTACTTTTCTGTTAGTGTGATAAAGCACCATGATCAAGGCAACTTATAGAAGGAAGGTTTCTTTGGAATTATAGTTCCAGAGAGACAGAAACCCACCATGGTGGGGAGTGTGACAGCAAACAGCAGGCATGGCGGGCGGCCTGAGCAGCAAGCTGGGAGCTCACTCTTCAAACTGTAAGCACAAAGCAGAGGGTGTGAAAAACAGGCTTTAAACTCTCAAAGCCCGCCTCCAACAAGGCTACGCCTCCTAAACCTACACAAACAGTGACATAAAGTGTTCAAATGCTGAGACTATGGTGACAACTTACTTTAACTACCACTGGGAGTGATCACTGCAGGGTTGCCATGGTATCTACAACCGTAGATTTTCATTGTTCTTCGAAGCTGACTACATTCTTATCCTTCTGGCTATCTGAGACATGCAATGCATCGTATTAGTTACCCTGACCCCCACCCCACCCCCATGCCATGACACACTAGAACATCTGCTCAATCACAACGCACCCCTCACTGACTCTTCTCTACCCTCCCCGAATCTTGCTCTCAGCTTCTCAGCGAGATCAACTTTCAAGGACTCCACTTAATGAGAGCAATCACATGTTGCTTGTCTCCCCATCTCTGACTTGACTGCCCTGTGTACTGGGAGCAAAGCAGAGCTGTCTGAGGCCTTTCTGTGTTGGAGAGCAGAAGGAGCTCCCTTGATTCACCCACTTCAGAGAATTCTGCACTGTGCTGTCCAGTTCATACTCTTGGTACAGATTTAGGAATGCCCCCCATTGCATTGGGACCCCTTGCCTGTTTCCATCTCCCCTCTGGGCTTGTCTACTCTATGGTGACCTTCACTATTCTCCTGGCAACAGGTATTTTTTCCTTGGGGGCGGGGACTCCAAGGTCAGGAACTGTTCTCCCTCTGTGGAAGCAGTCTGAGGCTGGGGGTGTAGGCCCCTGCAAGGACACCCCCCCCCCCGGCCAGGCATCTTGAGCAAGCCTGAAGCTGTTGGCTGGAGTATCTTGCCCACCTCCTAGAGTTGTGATTGGGACTCTTCCTGTTTTGCTAACACACATCTGCTGGGGAGGAGCTAAGCCTGAAAACCCTGTTGTTTTCCACTGTGCTGAGAGTCAGTATATAACCCCACTCTTTCCCCTCCATAAACGGCATTCGGCATTCTGACATTGCTGTTGAATGAATGACCCACTGTCTTGACTCTTACTTCAATCACCTGAGTAGTGGAGCAGATCGCAGCATGGGCACTACATGGGGGTTTAGTCCACACTGGCCCAACTCCTGTGAGAGGGTTTTGAGTTTCATTTCCTTCTACTCCCTGGAGCCAACTCCTTGAGAGTTGGATTGGTTCCTAACTCCATTGGGAATGGTGATCAGGTGTTATACACAAACTCAGTACTTGGGAGATGAAGGCAGAAGGACCAGGATCAAAGTCATCTAGAGCTAGAGTGACTTCAAGGCTAGCTTGGCTTTTATGCTAGGGAACATTGATGAAGGTCATGTGCCTGTTTCAGAATATCACAGACCCCTCCCAGGGTACCACAGCTGACCTGATCTTGGCTGGACCTTAGTAGCTTTGAGGACTAGGAATGAATCATATGATGTCTCCTGTTGGGGGTTGTCAGGAATCATAACTATAACTTAACTGGAACTGTGGGGTCCTAGGCATGGACACAGGTTGTCACAGGGCTGCTGATCTTGGCTGCATGGCTGAAGTCAAGTTTCTTCCTGTTGAGTTCTTTCTCTTTTTTTCTACTGTATTAGTTACTTTCCTGTTGCTTCGATAGAATGCCAAGACCAAAAACAACTTTGAGGAGACAAAGGGTTCTTTTGGCTTACAGTTCCAAAGGAGACCATCTGTCATGGGGGGGGCATGGTGCCAGGAGTGTGGACAGCCTGGTAATCAAGAGGTAGAGAGGGAGAACAGGAAGCAGGACCAGGCTCTAAAGCCTCAAAGCCCAGCCCCCAGTGATGTACCCATGATGCACTTCCCCCAGCCAAGGCTCCACCTCCTAAAGGTTCCCTAACATAACCTCCTTCAAACAGGGGCACCGATGGATTCAAGCTTTTAAGTACACAAGCCTTTGGGGACATTTCTAATTCAAATCAGGACCCCCATCATCTTCTGTTGTCACATATTTCTAGTTGAGCAACAGCCACTTGATCAGAAGCTCAATTAAAGCAACTAGAGGCTTGTAAGTGGCATCATGGTAGGAGCGTTTGGGGGACTGAGACCCTAAGCTGTGAGGTCTTGATTGATGTAAGAATAGACAGGAGAAAACACATAGCCTGAAAGTGAGGTCAGTAGTTTTCCAGTTAATTACATTTTCAATTTTATGTGTGTAGATGTTTTGTCTGCTTCTATATGTGTGCATCGTGGGCATGCCTTGTGTCTAGAGAGGTCAGAGAGGGTGTCAGATCTCCTCAGACT